TTAGGTCTTTCTGAGCGTATTCATCGTGGAAAACGCACATCATTAGTATGACGTACCCTTACAAAAGAGGCAAAACAAACGAGTTCCTACTAATGAATCCCTGGATTTTGTTGTTTAATTGAAAGAAAACCACATTCATACTGTATATTCGGCCTTGCCAGTAGCAGCTTCACATGCGCAGTCTCGATTTGAACCAGCGCGCCGCTTTCTCACTTGCGGATGGATACGATTGCTGACTTCGCAGAACAAAAGAACCTCAGGCAGATGCGCCACTATACACGTAACACAAGCAGCAAAAGAGGGAAAATAACAATGTGATGTTACTTTCAATTCTGTAATTTTCCTAATTATCTTTTGTTGCTACATAACTTTAAATAATCCACCGTCGGCTACAGTGTGAAAAAACTGCGCAATGCCAACACAACACTGTGGGATGTAGCAAAAAAGAAGCCGTGCATTAACGGCAAAACAGCCGATTTCCAGAGGTCTTACTGCACTACAGTCCTTTATCGTGAAGGATTAATAAGAAAATAAAGCATTGACATCATAACCATATCAATGTTGACTTGTGATGAAGCACATGTATATTAAGTGACTGGCATATTATATGTAGATATCATTCTGCGTCCATGGTTACGCACTTATAATGTAAATTTGAAAAGATATAGGGATCCACCCAAAAGTTAAAGCATGTATCATAACACTGTTATTCAGTTGTTCAGTTCAGATTTATTTGCTTTTCAATGAATATTATAGGACAGTGGGGCTTCTCTCTGTTTTTTAGATATCAGCAGTAATTTCGGCCTCTGTTACAGAGAGAAGGGGTTATATTGAAATTCACATCATTCCAACATCTTCAATCCAACACGGAATTGCTTTGTCTTTAAAGGACATTTTTACTGTCGACCTAAAACATTTATGAGGTAAAAACAAACATATTTGCGTTCAAAGTTCTCATTTCTATTCCGGAATAATCTTCAAACCTTTGTTATTTGTTGCCTGGCTGTAATGGTCTTTGCAAGTAACGTTCAAACAGAAACGAACAAAACATTATTAAAAATAAATAAATAAATAAATGATCAAAAGTATGACGGTGGCTTTACTGGAGTCAAATCACTTGCAGAGACCAGAGGAATATACATGTACAAGAGGCGGCGTAGCTGATCAACACGTGGATAGATCGAAAGAGAACTCAAATAATCGATCAATTAGTGTGACGATTCCGTAAAGAAGGCGCCTTTTAAGTAAACCGTGCATTCTGTGTGAAAAATGGCTAATACATGTAAGAGAACTGCACTAGGATAAAATGTAGATGTTAGATTTTACTTCGGTAGAACGTCTTTGGAGAGGCAGGCCCACGCGCGATGTGCGCAGTTTGATTTATGTGGTAAAAATTTATTTTAATGATGTTAACTTAGTGTTACCGTTTTATTATGTCCATCTTGACAAGGGCAACATGAGTGCATTTATATATTGTTTTTGTTAGGTTCACTATCTATCTATCTATCTGTCTGTCTGTCTATCTATCTATCTATCTATCTATCTATCTATCTAGTGCAGAAACCATTTTTTTCTCTCTAAAAAAATACACGGTGGCACGGAAGCAAGCAGATAAGCAACGTGACTTTGGGTGCGTCAGTTTACAAAAGAAATTTGCGACGATACAGATTTAATACAATCTTAATACAACCTTGATTTAGCAGGCAGCTTGAAAAGATAACTAATTCTAAATCCAAAACTGCTACGATTTATTCAACGTTGAATGACTGTGCAGTGTTCCCATTTTTAAATATGTAGGTCTGACTCTACATGTAGCTCTATAATCATTTATTAAAATTGTAGTACCCCGTCTTCGGAATTATATCTATAGTTTCTAAACTAATTTCCATCAAAGTTATAGCTTACTTTGAGGAGTATATCATAAAACGTAGCATAAACAAAAATATATCATAAAACATCATCAAAATTTAAACTGAATATTTGACGTGATGAAATACAATGATGAAGGCCATATATTGTCATATAGATTGAAGAATAGAAAAACTAATAACTTTCGATACAAATATTTATCTCAGTGTCATGTTTCATATGATGTTGTCAAGAGAGAATTCAAATCCTTTTTAGTGAACAAATGGAGTTAAAAATTGTAAAGTAATAAAATTGCACTTAAAAAAAATGAATGGTGGAAATATTTGCTGTTTAAACATTTTAGTCAAATAACATGTATCTTTCTTGAAAGTTTTCCAAACATGAGAAAAGAGATATATGCGTTTATTAAGTTTTCTTATTTCCAGAAAAAGGATTAAGAAAAAGTAGTTCATTTTCATACTCTCGACAATCTAATCTAGCCTTATTCACTCTTACATTCTCACTCTCTTATTTTGAAATTTCGTTTAAATCATCTAGGAGGCAAAGCGAATGAAATAAGGCTGTAAACAAACAAGTTATATTTTTCAAATTCTACTAGTATTTCACCAAAGTTCATTAAATGGCGTTATGTACTATCAATGTGCACAGGACTGTATTGGCAGAGGAAAATCTACAGTTTTCACATTTCAACCGTTTTTTACGTTCATTAAAACTGTTCTGACTAAATTTACTTGCTTTAGTTCTGCGTGTGTTCTCATTCACCAGAAATAAAGAACAATTAACAATAGTTAAAAACATGTACATCAAACGTTATGGCTCCAATCAAAAGTGGACTCACTGGTCTCCTTTGCGTGTCTTTTTGTTAAAAGGACAGAACTGACATCCTTGGGATCGTATATTTCCTGAGAAACGCAAAACAAAAAAGTCCAATAAAACAAACACCATTAACGGACTTATATATTCGTGATGAATATTTACACTGGGTTGGCGCGTGCTTATAATAGGCGTCAATTGGCCGAGGAAAACTTCAAACTAAAGCAAACAAGGGTTAAAAGTTGAGGCTTTTCAGTTGTACGACCACCTGCAGTCTGAACGAGTGAGCCCATGCTCTATCAGAGCTCAAAAGAAAGAGTGTTGCCTTGTTTAAACAAGTCCCAATTTACCAAATTATTGCCTATTATCATCCTCAGCGATGCGCTTTAATAACAATAAGTCAAATTGACATTTTAATATCCGTAAAATGCAGGGGCCGTTACAAAGTATTAAGTTTGGGATAATTGCGCGATGCATCACGGGATACCTTCATCAGAGTGCTCTCGGGTGTGCGTGATACTGTGAGATCGCTGTCCGACCAATCAAAGTCACGCTCTCCTGGTCAAACACCATCCATCAACAAGCGACGTTGAAAGAAAAGACGTGATTTTTTTCACCGTGGCAAACCAATATCAAATGTCCACGAGAGAGAGAGAGAGAGAGAGAGAGAGAGAGTTTTATTTTATTGAGATGGAGAGAGAGATTATACCTCATAATTTTCCCATGGCTAAATTGAATCTGTTTGTGAGAAGCTTAAGCATGTAGTTACACTGTAATCGGTTTATAATACAATAAAATTCAGGCCCGTAGCCCGGGGGGGGGGGGGGGGGGTTCGGAGGGTTCGAAAGAACCCCCCTTTTTGCTGGAAATTGCACCTACTCTGATAATTTTTAACGAATCCCGTATCAAACGGACATAATAATTGTAAACATACACTTGCAACCATCCACAAAGATTTAAAAACAAGGGCAGTGAACTATGTTTTCCCCGTACGTCTTCATTACGAGGCAGTTTGCGATGCTCCCAGCAAACGCAATTGACTGTCGTTACCAGGTCAGAGTTCCTGACCCCAACGCGATTAGTGGTCAGTTGAAGACGTCAACGTAGTAGTCATCGGCTACTCAATTATTGTTGCCCTACAAAAACATATGCTTTACGAGATTCGAATGCTATCTGATAACTCTCAAACACGGTGTATTTATGCACACAGAATAACGATATACAGGACAGAGAGAAATTCTAAGTTTTGTCCATTGTGGACTTTGAGGCTATTTAGTTAAAAATAATCATATTGTAGGTGTTTTTAGTTAAAGAATAAATCTGATAGGGTTTGAGATAAACTCTCACTTGACTTAATTTTCCTCATAATTATCCTCGCGCGCGTTTACTTTGTTCAAATAAATTAATTGAAAAGTCTGATTTTCCTCACCTTTGTCACATGTACAAAAAAAAGGGGCGAATCACGTGATCCGTAAGATGGGGGAGACCACAAATACAACGTTTTACATCTATTGTATTCGTTATGCGACATTACATATGCAGGTACCCTTCTTCGTTGTATTTAGCACTTCTTTGTGATCTTTTCGTGTCCCACTAATTTCTTGGAATACACAACCACATAATGTGGGTATGTAGAACGACGCAAATTGTATTCTTGAAGCTCAAAAATTGGTTAATTTATTTATTTACCCAGGATCTCGGCAGGGTAGGGAGACGAAGACGTAGATCTCAACTGCATAAAACTCTATAAACAACAGAATTGTCAAACAAGAGAATTGTCCAGATGAACAACAAGAAAGATCACCTCGACCGACAATAAATAAATAAATGAATAAATAAATAGATAAATAAATAAATAAATTTAATAAATAAAAAAAAAAAAGAGAGAAGGAGAAAAAGAGTATGTGCGTGTGTGTGCGTGAGAGAGAGAGAAAGAAAGAGAGAGAGTACCAACCAGCAAAATACTGGTTGCAAATAGCACTTCAAACCAGCTGTTAAGTGAGAAAACTTCACACGGATCTTCTTTAAAAATGGTCTTTTAAGCGTAGAAAATTAAACACTGACTGTAAATAAAAAAAAAAACAAAACAAAAATGTGGAAGAGGTATTTTAGCATTTTGAATCGATTGTGGATTAAAGTGACTGCCCCACCCTTCTCATTATCACACCTTCACCAGTCGAACTCTGACCCCGTTGTCAAAAAACCTTGAACCCGTCTGTGGACGAGCAGTTATCAGAAAGATGACATCACGATCGTGATCTCCTGAGCAGAAGTCAAACCGTGGGACAGTATATAAGGTGCCCAACACGTGATTCTATGCAAAAGGAGCCATCTCTGCCACTCGCGAGGGTAACACCTTACAGAGGTCGTCAAGTTTCAAGCTAGTTCGCAGCTTCTGGCAGGTGAGTGTACGGGTTTACAGTCGTGCCGTTGAAGATACATATAGATACACAGGACTGCTTTATTCTTTGGCTACTTTCAAGAAAGTTTGTTCGGTGTTAGACAGCGAAATTATCGTCTTGATGCGGCCATGCCCAAACGGGGCGGGGTGAAAAGCCGCGCCCTTCAAAATACGTTGCACGGGTTTGTTGAGTATGAGCTAATTTTGACTTACTTCGTGCTCTCTGTAGTGACTGTATTTTAGGGAAATATTTCGTTTTTTGTTTAGAAACGGATAAACCCGAATTGGGTAACGAAATAGGCTTTTACGTGTCTCGTGTGTAATGATATCAAACGTATTAAATCTCTATAGAGACTAAACGTGTTTTTCTACCTGTGAGGCAATCTTATCAAAGGACCTTGATCACGCTCCTGTTTCGTCGATGTTTCATGGGTAGAAAAATACCTTCTCTATAAAAACGATTGTTTTTGGCCGCATTCAGAGCAGTGGAATAACTAGTCCGGAGGTCAAATATGGCGACCCACTATAAAGCTTGCCGTCTCATCCGCTAATAGCCACTTCCGTTTGGAAGTATTCAAGTGGGTCGGTCATATTTGACCCTCTGACTAGTTAGTCCACTGTTCTGAATGCGGCCTTTGACTAAATTATTTTAAGTCGAATATCTACATGTATTCAACGGTGAGGCACTGAAGCGACATATATCAACGTGCCTAATGCGGTAGCATACGGTTAACTTGTTGGATTTGCATTACAAAACTAAAATGTCTATTGTCAGGTATTGCTTCTACTGCTTTGGTTCTTTTCAATGACTTCGTTGATGTAGGCCCTTTTCTTTAATTTTAAAAATTCTAAGAAAAAATAAGCCACTTTTTTAATTAAGTTGAGAGCGCCCTTGCTTTATCTTTACACCGAATTTAACAAAATGGTCATTACGTTCGTTTTTCGCCATCCTTCACTCACAATGTAGCATAATAGGACACGGTATTTTTAATTTTTTATTGAAAAACAAGAGTAAGACGAAATGTGGCAAAAATAGTTTGTACTTTCTCATCTCACACTCGTGCGACTGGCTAAGGGCAATCATCTGAAATTTATCCCTTAAACCAAATTTGTTTTCCATAGCATGGTCATCAAAAGCAGAAAGCAGACTTCTTCTCGCGGTCCCCAACATAAAAATGTGCTAGATGCGACAAACGCAATACACCACACCACGTCAACAATTTTGCTGTGCATGCCAACTATTGAGGAGAGAAATGCACACACACACACACACACACACACACACACAGAGAGAGAGAGAGATTTCTGTGCTTTCCATAAGAAACCGATATACAACTCTTTCAAGATATGAGACTACATTCGTAGTGTGTTAGGTATACAGCATCAAGTGTTGCTTTTGACAGAGATAAATAGATAAATTTTTGGATCTAATTATTTTGAAGTCTATCACAAAATGTACTTAACAAAACACCTGTATTTTGTAAATTCCGTACATTGATATCTATTTAAATGTTTGATGTAGACTGTTATTGAACTGAATTTCGTTCATCTTTTATTTTCACTTTTGGAGAATTGTCTTAATTTCTCATTTCCCAGAACATGCTGACAATTCCCCTCTCCCTTTTCTCCATGTTGTTATTTTAATTTGACTTAATTTTTCTTGTCAACTGGCGTCTGATCTTGCGATATATCGACATTGGGTAGAATTAAATGCTTATTTCATTAAATGGTAAGAGTAAAGACTGAAGAACTCTTTTCATCTTTCCAGTTTTGGGCGTAGAACGACTAGAAGACACGTGACGATGCATACACCGTCAGTTGTATCTACCGTAGCCGTGGTAACGGTGGTTATCCTGTCGACAATAGGTAGCGTAGAGTCTGCCAATATCACCACGTCACTTACCTGTGCCAACGACAGTATGCTGGTGAGCTACGTTACAGGCAGCAATACGTTTAACCCAACAGAAGGGCGAATCTACGTTGACGGTTTTTACGACGATGTCAACTGTTTCACTGCTTCGGCACCTTGGGAATTGAATGTGACTGTGGGAAATTGCGGTACAGCGTTTGAAACAGCCTTCACGGTTATTCTGCTTCACGATAAAGACTACTACCTGGAAACGATAGACTCGGCCCAGACTTTTACCTGCAAAGCGTCTTCATATGCCACAACGATGCACAACGTCAGCGCCTACGTGCCGGCCGGTGAGATCATCCCTATAGTCGGCCAAGAAGCGAACGTCCCCGGGTTCGACGTGACCATTACATTAAGGTTGAGGAACACATCGACTGGTACGGAAATAACACCTTCAAGCCCTGCCGTTATCTTGGGCGGCAATGTCACATTGGAGTTAACGGTGGACCCATATGCCCCCGTCAAGATCCAGGCCGTTCGCTGTTGGGCCGCTGGCATCGTCACTTCCAATGGAGTCGATTCGTGGAAGTACCTGGATCTCATCTCCCAAAGTTGCCCCGCCGTTCCGTTCTTCGGCAGACTTCAACAAAACAGCACCTTCCATTCTTTGACATCTACCTTCCCAATGTTTCTCATGACTCCAAGACACGCTTCCAACAGAACAACCGGTTTCTTCTGCACAGTGAAGGCATGCGACGTGACCAGCAGCGACTGCAACTATGTGAATTGTACGGGTGCTGGAGAGAGTGGACCAAGCTGGGGAAGGAGACGAAGACGTGCTGCCGCCCTTATGGCAGGAGATATCGAAGATACTGTGTACGACGGCGATATGAGCAGTACCGATGACGAAGAAGATGATGGTCTGTATCACCCAATGGGCAAAAATGACGTCGGGAAGGTGGCTTTGGGGTATTTTCTCACTGTTTACGATCCAGAAGAAGACATTAATGACGTTCAGCTTATCGAACCTGACGGGCAGCCCCAATGGCCTGGCGCTGATTCTTCCCAACCAGGAGACTGGCTGGAACCCGGAGATGGGCAGATGTATAACACGGCAACGGCAGAATCCACCGATGAGATTTGCATTAACAACTACGTACTCGTCATAGTGACTGTATTAATTGGACTCGTGGTGATTGCCTTTTGCTGGATCTCCGTTTGCTTCTTCGCCTATGTCCGTAAAAGATCAGCACGTCAACGACAGTCTTCAAAGACGGAGATTGAGATGTAAAACCAATCCTTGCATCCCCTTCACTGCCTGAAACGCCTAACACATTATCATGCATTGCTGACTTCTTTATTTTTTTGAACAGAAACCGGTTATCAACCGTGCCACTATTATACAATTTACAATGGTGATTCGATTTCTCATAATCATTGACTGAGATCAATAGGACGTATTTAATGGAATGTTTCGTGTTTTGTTTTTCAATAAATATTGTTTGCCAAAACAAATCTCCTTTTGATTTCCCGATAGATATAAATGCTTAATGTTTTTTGCAGATTTTTTTTCAATAAAAGCAAAAGCAAATTAATGTAGACTGCCATTTGATATACGGTGATATGCTAAGTTTTCAAATAGAAAAATTGTTGATGGGGGACTAAATTATTGATAAAAGTGAAGAGAGATTCATTGACGGTTTCGGATAACGATTTGAGAGTAATAAAATAGATTATCTTTAACCGGAACGACGAATTATTTCAAAAAATATAAAAATTGCAAGTGCAAAAAATAATATAAAATATCTAATTTTAATCGTATGAAATTAAGTAATTTTCGGAAACGACATCATTGACAATTTACGGTTAATGTCATCAAAGTTGATATGGACCATTTAAAGACGTACATATGCGTGTGACTTTCATAGGGCAGATTTTAATTTTTAAGTGAAGCTGACGCGATGAGAAAAAAATTAAATGCTGTATCTTGGGAAGGGATGTGCTTAAACAAAAAATCTCTGAAATTAATTTGAAAAGTATTTGAACATGCCCAACAATAAGTTTTGCTGCAAGCGCCACTTTATAAAGACCTATCGTAAATAAAAGATGATTAAACACATGTCAAAAATATAATGATTCGAATTTATGTAAAATATCCCCGAACATAAAAAAATCTCCACCAATAGGTAATTCTGACAAATTAAATTTCACATACATACATATGAATGTTTATTTTCAACGTTTTCTATGGGAGCCTGCCTCAAAGATGTGGGCGTTTGTTAAAATACAAAAAAGAAAAAAAAACAGTGACACGTAAAATCCCATTGAAAGAAAAAACACTTTCAGTTTATACATATTTCGAAAGCGCCAAAAAAGAATATGACTTAAGCAGGTTTGAAATAAAAGATCTCTGTCATTCCTGATGTTGTACATGTACATCACATTGATTCTTAACAAAATAACATATTTGTTGTCAAAGGTGCCGTAGAGGGACGATACACACGAGACATATTTTTTAAAGTCAAGTTGTTGATCAGCCTAAGTTTTTTTTTTACCAAGTAGGAAAATCCCCACGTCATTTATATTCAGCTTTCAGTTTACGTTGTAGAATTCATACACTAGGTCTTAACCAAGAACCTGGTGTTTCTTTTCAGAGTGATATATGAAAACAAACGCTCTCTTTGCGCGTCTTCTTTTCTCACAAACCGTGACAGCATTTTCAGCAGCTGATGTGCAACTCAAACGTTCCAGAGTTTCCGCGGTATCCATGAACAGCGACGAAGTAACATCCAGCTTCCGGTGACGTCACAGTGACCCAGGATTCCAAGTCGCAGGTATAACCGTCATCATTGAAGGAAACATAATCCGTGTGAAGACATGTGGTCGAGTTAACTTGCTGTGGCATCTTCCCCACGGCTAACATGCTGTCATAGTCGGTGCCCGGTCTGCATGTGTCGATTTCAACTCTCGCGACCCACGGCGAGATTTCCATGAGATAGAGCAGCTCGCTTTTGCCCGGTTTGCCCACGTTGCTTCCATTAAAACTGGTGGTGACCGTGCCGTTGCAGGTGATGCCCAGGTGGGTTATGCTTCCTTAAGAAATACAAAATACAGATGTATGCAGAGGTAACACTCTTATTAAGTAAAGAAAGACTCTTCTGCAACTTAAATGGATAACAACTGTTTGAATGACATTTAAAGTTCACATTTAATACATTTGAAACAAATTATAGAAATTAATAAATACCATTTTACCGTCAAAACAGCGGCTATCGCAATTATTCTGGAATCTGTGCTTGCCATCAGATCACGTGGACATTTATAGATGGCTATACCACTGTAGTACTCTCTTAAGGGATCATTACAAAAAAAAACAAACTTTTGAGAAAAAAAAAAACATGGGCAAACTTTGAAATTTGGAATTGATTCATTAACCATTGGTAAGTATGGGAAAATCAGCATTTACTCCAGGAAAATCCGTTTTTGGCCAAAACAAACGACTGTTATCTCTTTAAATTCAGTGAAACACAACAATAATGTTTTTGTTCAACATTGTGTTAGAGGTGAAAGATGTGACAGGTTGTCTTCATTGAATTATTAAGCTGAAATAATTGGAAAAAGTCACACAAAAGGTGCTTAGAACGTATGAAGCAAGCACTTCATTTTCCTGGAAATTTCAAAAACCTTCCCAAAACTGTTGAGGCAATTATAATTTAAACCCGTTTTCTAGTTATCACTTTGTAATTTTAATGCAACAGCCCTATCTTCATTACGAGAGTTGCTCAAAATGAACTTGCAAAATAATAATAATATTAATAAATAAGAATGAACAGTTTATGTATCGTAATTTCATCAACGTCTACCTTTTTTATTTTGGCAGACCGTTAAAATTTCAGGAAAATATTTTTCCTTTTGCTAAATATAAGTGTTTATACGTTAAATGCATGTCCCTAGTGTAAATGTGGGTATAAGTTAGACCTGGAGTCTACGCTATGTCAGAATCGTGACAGTGTTAATGTTTTGATAAAAACGATGGAAAACTACTGTCACAATTCACATGTATGATGTCGATTGGGACCGTTTACCAAGCCTGAAGGAGTTGCGACACAAAAGAATACTTAATAATGTGCATATTTTGGCGTTCAAAATGTTTCATATAAATATTTGATAGTTCTTGCAAATAGTTATATCAAAAAAGTGGTAAACTGCAGTACAATGCATAATACCTAATGAATGTTCTGATCATCTAATATTCATCATGTTTTTGTTGTTATAAAAATGCTAGATAGATGTTCTTTTTTTTGTGACAAAAAGAGTGAAAAAAAATCATTGAAGCAAAACAGTATGGCCAGCATTACGTAAACACAAATCTGCGTCAGAGGCACATGATATTTTCCCAGGAGCAAGCGACACCTGCTTATAAAGCAAACGCCAACTATATGAACATATAGTTCAAATTTATATAGGCAATTCGCTGAAGTGCAAAAATAAATGCTTTGCCAGAATTTCATAAACCTTGAAATTTAATTACATATCGCTATCTACTCTTTTGCAAGGTAAATTTACTTTGTTAGGCAAATTTACTTAATTTTACCAAGACCGTAATTCTAACAGATGGCTCTCTTACCTCCATTGGTGCAATTTACAGAATCATATTCTGCGATGGGACAGCTTATGTTTGATGCCAAAACAACTGCAATGATAAAAATTCATATCGGCCGATAGTATCAATATTTATCGTACCGTCACTGGCCAATCCAGGAGGGGGGCACAATGATAGAAGATGACCAGCGAAGAGAGAAAAAATGCGAAATAGTTGTGGAGGACAAATTTACTGTAATATGTAGGGGCCAAAGATGGGATTTATTATTTTTTTTTTTTGGGGGGGGGGGGAGGGGGGAGCAGGATTAAAGAGGAGTATGGAGTAACACCCATTCGAAAGGGGTGGTCTGGGTCCATTATGCCTCCTGAATCCGCCACATTGGATCATATTTAATATAAGAAAATTAACAAACATTAATTCATTGAAGTCAAGTAGCTTCTTCAGATATAAAAAAGCTAATACATGTAAAACAAAAATTGAATATTTTTAAAATAAATGCATTGAAACTTCACAGGCAAAAAGAGTAAATAAACATCAACTTATCGATGGCCTAAATTTTAAAATAAAATAAATGCTCTATTTATTTGGTTATTCGTTTATTTATTTATTTATTTATTTTTTTCATATTTAAAGATTTAACGTCCGGGGAAAATGTTTTCTGTTTCTAATAACCTGTTATCACTTTTCCAATTCGCCTTCCATCCTTTTAAATCATTAATACTATTACAAAAACAGTGAGTTTAATTGGAAGTAGAACTGTACGAACAATAGATAATAGGAAATTCATTAGACTGAAACTTTATAAATACAAATTGTCGATAACACGAGGACATATAGTTAAGATTATATTTATTTTTGAATGATAACAAATATTTGAAGTGATGCCTATAGTGAAAGGAGGACAGTGTCAAAAGACCCAGAAGCGACGGTTATCAATATTTAGAAAACAATAAATATTGACTATAGGAAACCCTACAGACTAATGTTAACGTTCGATATACGGCATATATACATTGAAAAACTATCACAAATACAATTCTTCCTTATTGACCCTCTTTTAGTGTACTTGTAATGAATTCGAAAAACGAGGAAAAACTATAAGCAGGGAGTTTACAATATTTATTATAAAATACTGAAAAAGATATTTTGATAAAACGCTTACAGTTCACCCTGAAGAACGCCGTTAAGTCAATAGAGGAAGAGAAAATGGAAGTTTAAAAAACATATGTTGGACTGTTTTTAATTTTTTTTTTTTTTGCAAGTAAGAGAAGAAAAAACAACTTTTATTCATAAAAAAAAGCTTGAGAAATTTTAAAGCCTTACCTTTACACCAATCATTGATTTCCTGAAAACGAAATAATACAGTAATCAATTCAGGAGCAATTGGCCTGTTTTCTTTATTTGTGGTCAATTAAGAAGGCAAAACATGTACATCGATGGTTTAATAGATGGAAAAGAAAATGAATGAAAAAATTCATAGACAGATTAATAAACAGGTGAATCAGCGAGCAGATAAATAAATAAATAAATAAATAAATAAATAAATAAATAAATACATCGCACGACAGTCACTAACGTTATTTTAAATGAAATGGTTATCTTATCTGTTTTACATGTACTATCTTAAGCAATCTTTTAATTTTAACGGTCTTCCCTGATATACAAGTCCTACTTACTTTCTTCAAAAATGATTTTGTCCCTTCGATGCTCTCTGTCCCGAGGCATTTTCCAATGGTCTCGTTGTCCTTCCGGACCCCAACAAGAACACATGTCTTGTTTGTGTAATGACCTCCACCGCAATTTACCGTATCTAGACAACTGACAAGGCAGCCAAGAAAATTCCGTCTCTGTGAAGTAGATAATTCTTCATATAGAGGAGCCCTAGGATCAGTTTCAATCTGCCACAGAAAATCCTTGTAGACGTGAAAGTAGGAGGTGACTGTTTCTGTGGTGTTAACTACGTCCACGTTAACATTGAAAACTGACAGCAGTAAGAAACTGGAGAGTATCGCGCGGTGGATGCCTCTCATGATCGCAGTTATGGACTTGTCACTTTCCCGGTTTTGGACAGGTTGAACCTTTTGCGTCTTGCACTGAAAAGAAAAAACACACAAAAGAATTACTCCCTAGATTATTTTCCACAACTTAAAAATCTCTTAAGGCTCTATATTTACGTCCGTAGCTGAAATAATTCTTATACAATGTACCCACACTCTCTACTGTATCTGTGCGTTTCCCAACACCCTAGACAATATCTATTCCCAGATACACTACTAGTGTTTAAATGCTTGAATTAGTCTCTGAGCAAGAGCATATGACGTTTACAAAACGCTCTAGGTATGTTTAGTGTACGACATTTGTTCTCCAGTGAGATGCATTGATTGAGACATACTGGCACAATATACAAATGTGTTAGATAATGACATCTGTGAGAATTATTGGCATCTTCAATAAAGAAGAACGCGTGTGCATGTGCCTCTGATCGAATAAAACATCACTTCTTCGTGTTTATTTAATTCCATTTATTTCTCCATTAGTTCTTTTTGTGCTTGTTGTCATCTTTTTTTTCTTACTATACCGGACCGTTCAATAAAAAAGACAAGCATTTTGTGTGGAATTAGAATGCCCAAAATGTAAAACCAAGCTGGACATTTATCGGATTTTATTTTCTGACAAAAGGAGGGAAAGGAAGAAAATAGAAAAAAAATGATATTTTTACAACTTGTATCTAGCTTAGTCTACGAACACATATATTTTGTCACCACACGTTGAAGGTAGTACTGGTTGCGATTTCATTGATGTGCTCTTCTTCTCTAACACATTTCACATCTGCATTTTATCTCTTCTGGGACAACGGCTTTCATTAGTTCAGCGAATTTTGTTACTGATATTCAAGACTGTCATTTATTGCCTTAATTTGTATTTTGCCACAGTTATTTCTCATTTAGGTTCATCACCTTTATTTCGCGTCCTTTAAAATCCTTCAACATCTGTTATAAAATCTGGCCAGTAAAGTGCATGCATATTCGTTTATTCTACTTTATCAATATTGATACTTCAATGCGCTACTTGTTTTCCCTTTTACCATCACTGTTGAATCGGATTCAGAAGATCAGACATGGGTGTGTGTGTGTGTGTGTGTGTGTTGGGCGCGCGGGGGGGAGGGGGGGACAACCAGCTCCCCACATAAAAGCCCTTTCAGAATGGCAAACTGCATGGGCCCTACGTGTGTAGCGAAATAGTTTCGAGTAAACTGATCGACTCAGGGTGCGCACAATGTAATCATATTAACGTTAAGTAAAACAGCTGGAACCGCCGAGCCCACAATAATAAGTCCTGAATACAGGGACAGTTTAATTAACCCACCCCGCTACGCGTTTTCAATATAGCGCATTGTACAAAATTGTGGCATAGTACAAACCTAATAATACGTGCGCGTATCTAGCATACCAGACACCTGCAGACGGCCTAGTTCATTCTATTTATTAGCTGCAAATATAATACAGATGTGTTCACACTTGTCAAAATTCCAAATCTGTCCATATATTTTATCACAAATATGTTTTTTTTCGGTACAATTTCACAATGACAACATGGCAACCCATTTTAAGACAACTACAATAACAAAAATTTTTTCAAAGACTGATATTACTTGTATACACTTGAATCAACACTTTAACGTATAGCACATTCCTCGGGAGCTAAGAAACGTGACAATATGGAGAAAAATCGATACATATTTTCTTTATCTCATAAGCAGTAAATTTAAGTTATCTTAAGCATTTACCGGGTAATGGCTTACGGGGGAATCCGACGCGGGAATGGGCTCTCGATATTATACCGTGTAAACGTGGTGCATATATAACAATATACGTCATAGCACGCAGTCTTAGCACGGTTCATGCAGGAAGGTGGAAATTCAGGGTGCACCTGTTCTGGTCATGGCACCACGTACCCTCCTCGACGGCGAGGCGACATACCTATATATACACCTGTGCCCTCTGTATAGCTGGCGTGTGTACATGTGTACATGTATTTCTGCACCACAACCTCCTCCACAACCTCCCTAAACAGTTAATATATATGCGTGGCCTTTCTTATTCATGCTAAAATGGCCACCAGTTATGTATGAAGGGATGGGATTTTTCCGAATATCGGCGGATTTCCGACTTTTTGGGGAGCCAAGAATATCATTGGCCTAGGCGACCCCCTGGACCCCACTCTGTATTTTTAATATTTTCACTAAATATATAGTCTCATCCCTGTGTATGTACAGTGGTAAGTGGTAACTTTGTGAAACATGTTACTATCCTTGGTAAATATGCTGGTTCAGGCACTGTCAACAGTGATGGTATTTCTGCTTCTCCTTAAACATCTGCTTTGCGTCTTTTTTGCTGACGGCAAAACAGTAGCTTGTAACACCCAACAAACTTCTTTGCTAGAAATTGGAAAATTAGATAGCAAAATTACATCGTGGATTTTTAAACCATGATAAGGATAATGGTCTCGCATAGTTTCGGTTTCATTTTTTTATGATCTCTAAGGCTAATACAACGTTTTAATGTCCAGGTTTTACACGTTCAATAGAAGACCAAGAAGGACAATCCACATATATTGCAGGTTTAAGTTTAAAAAAAGATGACAATTGAGCAAAATGAAGTAAAGAGTAATGACAATAACTTATTGACAAAAAAATAAAGGGAGGATGAGATGGAATTGCGATAATTTCTAAGTTCTGATTCCCACAGTACCGATGTATCTTTAATGTCAGTCGGTTATTTTCAGACCTCTCTATCTCCCATTTGTTTTTCCAATTATCTACACAAATATCCGACATGCAAAGAAAACCTTTCAGTTTATTACTGGGTTCTCCCTCGTGGAATAATCATCGACACTCAGCTAAAAGTTCTTAGTTTGTTTCCTTTTTTAAATCTTCTTTTTTTGTAGTTAAGTTAAATTATAGCGCACATGCATAAAAAATGAATTATTGTTGTTAATGCATAGGCCTACAAGGTAATTTCAAGCCCATGTGCGCCGAATACAAAATACCCGGTAAAGGCATGTAGTGATCGAGTAAATAACTTCACTGTGCTCGTCAGCAGATTTCGAACAGAAACTTTGATTATTTTCAATATGGGAAGAAATTCATAAAAATAAGGTAATGGAAAAAATATGGGAATGACATAAACAGTGCGTGGTATCTACAGGCTATGGAAGCATCATCTCTGCTCTTGAAACAAATTTCAACGCATTTAAAATGTTTTAAGACAGGTATATGAAAAAAAAACAGATCTAAAAGTGCACTCGGTGACATTGCGACCCGCATAGCGTCTAACGTAAGTCAGCTTTAGGAATACGTTAAAACCTGTAGAAGTAACATTATACGTTAACAGGTTAAGTATGCAGAGCAGTTCAGGAGAGAAACATGTGAATGAAGCCACTCGACTCTAAACAGGTCTAAACTACATCAAACTTGTGTCAGGTGTGAATCCGCCCTTTATATAATCAGTGTGGTAATTTCCCTCCCCGATAATGCCTATTTCAATCTCCTGTTCTTCGACTCCATTCATGTGACCTTTTCGACGAGTTGTGAAAACATCACTTTACGACCCACAGGTTAACGTAGTAAAGGTCCCGAGTAGCGCGTCTGCGAACAGTCTGTCTCTCCACGCCAACTGCGGTCGGTCTTTACGGCCTACTCAATATGTTTACTACGAACAAAATGGACCTTTCACGCTAGCCGCGTCTCATTTCAGCTTCACCCGTTGTTTTCAGCGGCTGGTATTATTCTAAAAAGTATAATCGGCATTTGACGCGGGTCGGTAACCCCTAGTCTAACCCTTCACGAGCCTCGGTTAAGACCGGGTACTTTCTTTATGTTTGCGGTTTAGGTTAAAGTTAAAGCTTTGCAGCAGCAGCAAGGTGAACGCATTTATTCCGAGCTGGTCTGGGAATGTTAACGGCGTTATTTATCAGAGTAGTATGTAACCGTCTTCTTATTTAACGGAAGAGGGAATACACGTACAGCTGGGAGGATTACGTGAGGATAGTGAGGATACTTTTAAAAGATGACGGAAAAGACTGCAAAGCGTTTCGTGTTAATGGTTACGACGGGTCTCGTAGCGATCAGCTGTTTCTGCCCCAGAACACAGGCGACTCTGAGCTCTAGTAATGGCCCCTTAAAAGGTACGTACGGCGTGTGTGTGTGTGTGTATGTGTGTGTGTGTGTGTGTGTGTGTGAACCTGAACAGCTATTTTTGTTTTCAGCCACCGAATACTCGTATAATACACATCCAAACTGGCACTGAAACTGATGCTTGTTTCACCATATCAAGGTGTTTAGGGTGTATTTCATTACAAAAGTCAACAAATAATAAAGGGTGGTGATGGAATAGCCAAGCTAGTCGAACTTTCTTGATATCCTATATAGCCACCTCTTGAAATGTAGCTTGAAAGTTTGTGTAACCCAGATTTTTAGTTTCAACTGGCATTTCTTCACACCACTCTGCTACAGCCCTAGCAATTTAGATATATTCAGGCACGTGTGTCACTTTATGGATCAGAATTTATTTAGTTATGTATATATACACCGTTTTCGTCTTACTAGCTTTTGCAGTACAGTCATAAGGCTATGGAGAGACACATAAATCATATAACCCAGCTAAATTAGCTCTCATGTAGGAGATGTTTATTATCCCACATCAACGGTGTTGTCGACGCTAAGCAGAGCCGTTTTTGTTTACTACAAGACAGACCCGTAAGCCAGCCGCCAGTATTATACGGCACGTGTTTCTTTCTGCTGTACATGTCTGTATAAAAGATGAATGAGTGCACGCATTAACGTGGTAATATTTGGTAAGAGATAGTGGAAGGTCAGACTCATATGTTTATGTTCAGTACTTTACATTTCAAAGAGCTTTAAATTTATACGAGACCGCAATCTAATTTGTTTGTCTCTCAACGCTCGCAAAAAAAAAAAAAATAAATAAATAAAATAAAAAAAAAATGCTGGGGAGCATAGATAGTGTGTGTGTATGTGTGCCAGAGTGTGTGTGTGTGTGTGTGTGTGTGTGTATGTGCTTACTTATGAGAGGTAGAGAGCGAGTGAGTTGGAGAGAGGTGGAGACAAAGATAGAGGAAGAGAGAGAAAGAGAAGAGAGGGGATGTCCTCTTTAACCGGTTCATCCATGATCTCTTCGACCCATTGTTTTTACGCCTGTTAATCCCATCTTAAATTTACCGCAAAACCTCGTTTTCAGAGTTCTGAAGACGGTTTATGTCCCTCCTGCAACTGCCCTCTGTGCAAACTATTCACCCATTCCTAAAGATGTCCACAACATACCCCCTAATTACAAAATTACTTCATAGCGGTTAGGGATAAGGCTTTGGAGAATACTGCCCTGGCACGTCTCAAAACGTCCCAAAACTGAACGAAAGGAAAGAAAAAAGACAGAAATAAACATTCCCACGCGGAAACTTCACTTTGTCTTTGTTAGAAGCCTGTCTCATTTCACAACGAAAGAAATCGTTTTATTTTTAGGAATGCCAAGTAGGACGCAGAACATGTGTACGTATGGAAAAGTAATACAAATTGTCAGTCCAGTAAGAAGTGGTTAGATGAATGGCGGGTCTCTGAATCGTATGCAAAGAATAGCAATGTTCGCATTGGTGTCTGACCTCTACAAAAGAAATTCAAGACCTTACTCAAAACTGACAGCATTTCCCCAATATCTTCAAAGAGGACCCGGGAAAGTTCGGAAACCTAAACAAGGTCAGCCCCCCCCCCTCCTCGTGTCTACCCCCCACCCCCCCTCCACCACCACCACCATTTGCGGCACTCGGTCGTTAACCTCCTCTAAAAGGTCATGTTTTCATTTGACATTTTTGTTCATCAGGTGGTCCTTATGCCTTCGATTATAGACTTGAAAGACGACAAGACTATCAAAGACTTCTTAGACGTCTTCGACGCAACATTCCCGGCTTTGACTGACAGATACATTGTCTGTGGCAATGAAATGATGACATAAATAAGATACAGGGTGTCTCTGAATTACGGAAACATCACTATTGAGAACTTACTTTTTTTGGTTTCACAGATAAGATACATTAATCAGCTGATTTATTATCTTATTTAATATGTACATTTTCGATATTTGAATTAGACATTTTGTTCAAAATATTTATCAATAAAATGTATTTGCCTATGTGTCCAGACTTTAGAGACACCAAATACTAATTGAAATATACACTCTGTGGTCATGAAGGTCCGTATATTTGTAAACCTATCTCTGCTATATATATATATTGCCCTGGTTCTTTTTTGGTTTCCGGTCATTAGACAAACGACGTACATGTATACCTTACGTTGGTGAATAGCCCAGACCGGTTTAATGAGTTTTGATGATGTTTTGACCATGAATGTTGCAGTGCTTTAAACAGCGTATATATCAGCTATCCAAGTAACTGACTCCATATTTATTATGTGTAGGAAAGGACTGTTCAAGTTTAAGGTCAAAGGGGACAAAAGAGCCGTTTCCAGTCTGCCCCACCCCCTCATTAGTCTTCGATATTTTAGTCTAGTCCAATAGAAATGTTATATATTAATGGGCATATGTTTTTTATTGCGAATATACAATATTTATCCCCATGCCGACATCTTTTCCATCACTACTTGCCTGCCGTGTGTTTCAGGCAAGTAGTGACGGATGTAGGGGAAAACTTAGTGCCCCTCCCCCCTTTTTCTTCTATTTTCTCTTGTTAATCCACGAACCTCATTTGCGTCTCATTTGTGTCTCAGTTCAATACAATAAAGCACGTAACGGTGACAGTAGCTGCTTTTTGTCCGCTGACTCCAGTTATCACCACCTGATTACAATGGTTGGTGACATTGATTACAACTGTCTTGACGTTGAAGGGGTGTTTAGTTGTATACCCTGTACAAGTGCAAAAGGTCGTCCCGTGTCTGGAGTGCAGTTTACCTCTTGAGCAGCGAGGCAGGCAGACAGTCTCTCTTCTTCGGTACACACAATGGGCCTGTGCTATGCTGTTGATAAATAAATAAATAAATTATATGATTAATAAATTAATTATCTAATAATAATAATAATAATAATCATAATAGAAAATAATAGCAGAAGAAGTCATGTTTTCCCTTTTTTGCGTTGTACAAAGTCTGTGTCTAGCGACAGACTAGTTGCATTAAAAATTTTGGGATATTCTTACAAAAACAAATCCATTCTTTGTCGACGAATAACCATATGCCTTGGATGGCGCCTTCAAGTCCCTTAAAAACCGTGATAATTTTTACATGTATATCCCGAGCGCGCTCATAGTTAGGTGACCGTGACTCTCTAAGCATTGTGCTCAGAGAATTGAAGAGAGCAACGCAATGTAAAAAGAACATGAGTGCCACTTTATTCCTCATTTCCTTTGGTTAGGTAATTGACTTCGTGGGAACCCGATATAAAGTTAGCTCTGGTAAAATAGACGTAAATACCTCAAGCCCCCCGGGTAACAAAACTAAAGAGCGATTAGCTTATTTTTCAATGTCGTTGCAAATAGTGAAGTTGAAAAGGACTACACTTAAGCAAGCAAATGTCGAGTAAATCTTTTGTGGGTTTCGCTCCACGAGCGCTGCAGTTGCAAATCTAACTGCTGTTCTTGTTTTGAGACAAATATGTAACAACCCTTTGCGTGAGATTATGTCCATTTGAAGACAGGAAAAAGTGTTGTTTCACAAAACTCTCCGGCATGTTTCAGCTTTGTTGTTAGACAAAGGTTGACATATATATTAAAGATACATATATGTCTGGTATGTTTGTAGAAGTCGAGAGAAGACGATAAAGAAAGCAAACTTTTACGGCACTGTGGGCTACAGTATCATAAGCAACAGCGGATCCCAGTGGAGAGGAGGGGGGGCACAAAAGGCAAGTGCCCCTCCTTTAGCCTCTGAAATATCCAAATATCCCACTACTGGTTGCGTTATTCCCCTTTTTCTACCCCCTCCCCCGGCCAATAAAAATGGCGAGCAAAATAAGACAACCCAAGCAATTTGTATATATTCTTGCGCCCTAAACATTTTAGCAAAATTATCCTCGTCTTTTGTTGTGTGAGACAAAATCCATTTATCCTTGTGCCATTTAGCAAAACCCTGGGAGCAATAGTGATGATGCAATATGATTTAAAACACGAAAAACGATTATATAATATGACTGACATATGTGCTTACATTACATTAATTGCTGCAGTATATATTAAATTTAGAAGAGACTAAGTGACATCAAAAGTTTAATGAGAAGTAGGCGACTAATCAATGTCAAAATAATTCTAGTAACTTGATTGATAAGCATTTATAAGTTGAGTAAAAGTGTAACGAGTCTTCATATGGGATTCCACAATAATTCCTCAGTAATACATAATTGTAAACAACACATAGAAAAAATAGTTAAGTTCATTTTACCACCAAAACGGCGGTTATCGCAATAGTTCTGAAATCTGTGCTTGTTATCGGACTACGTGGACCTTCATAGAAGGCTACCCTCCTATATGATCTCGTAAGAGATTACTTTAAAAAACACACTTACAAAAACAATCGACTCAATTTGAATGTCGGAACGGATTCATAAACCAGTGGGGAAGTTATGGGGAAATTGTCACATACCCAAGGAAAACCGATTTAGGGCACTCTTCCTGCCAAAATGAAGTTGCCATCCATTTTACAAGAATTTCGTTAAAAAAAGATTGATATTCCCAACAAGCCTGGAAACTTTCAATGACAGAGGTGACATTACCGATAAAATTAACCTGAACTGAATGTAGATCAGGAATTTTAACTTATTTTGATCTAATTTAAATTAAAATGTATAAAACGCGTTTGAATATCGTATTATAAATAAATGGAAGAAGGGGCGTAGGAATTGGGAATCTTATGATAAAAATCGAAGGCGTTCGGTGTAATCTTTATTATCATTTTTTGTGTGTGTGTGTCATTCAAGAAAGGGGCACCTTAAATTATATTCATATGAGTGTATATAAGAACATTTGCTGCGGAGGCGCTGTTAGCTGGTTTTTCATTTTAATTAACACGCTATAAGGATGTAGCCAGCAATAACGACCATCATATGCAACCGACCAAACAGAAAATGACGGCATACAAAAAGTATGTCTATATGTAAGTAGCAAATTTA